TGTGTAACCTATTTTGGTTTATGCACTTAAAAACTAGAAACTACATCTAGTGTGATGAAAAGTTTGTTGTTGACTTTTTTTTATAAACACAACTAAAGAGCGAAAAAATGACAAAGATAGCTTGACTCAACTCGACTCGGAAACAGTGGTGACTCGACTTGACTCGCCCATCCCTGGCTCATAGAATTATATATAATAAGAGATAAATGAGTAAAAATTCTATCTATGTTTCATAGTAGAATAAATCAATCATCATTATTTATTTTTATTTATATTTAATCTTATATTCGATATTTTCTAATCAATTCTTTATTTGTTTGACTTTTTTTTATAATAAATTAATCTTTAGACAAATAAAACTTGTTAATTATAATCATAAATTTGACAAATTCGAATTTTTAAACTATAATGTTATATTAAAAAGGGAATATTCACTAATTCGATTGGTTATTTCTATATTTTATCTGTGACTATTTCATTAATTAAAGTGATGTTTCCTAATAAATTCATATATAAAATGTGTAATAATGCTTTTCATTCAATTCTATAGATAAAGTGTTAAAAGTGTTTAAATCTTAATAAAAATGAAATATTTGTTTGAATATTGTCAAATAATTTGAACGAATTTAATTTCGTAAAAGAATAAATTCTTTATTTGAAAATCTTTGCTTGTTTTCATATAATTTTAAAAAAGTCTCCTATAAATAAATCTATTATTTTGAAAGATTTTAAAAAAGAAATAGATGGTAATATTTTTGATGAAAGATAAATTTTCATGACAGAAAGAAAAAAATAAACGATCAAATGAATTGAACAAAACAACGATTTTTTTTTTCTTTTTTCCTTGTTTTTAGTATTTGTTCAATTAAAGATCATAACATTTATTTAACACATTTTATTCAATTTTTTCTTTTTTTCTATTGAATAAAAAATTTCTTTTATCATTTAAAAAAAAATGTCGTTAGTTTTCTGACAAACACATTAATGCATTTTGTTTAAGTTGAGATTGGACAGATAAATGTTCTTTGTCTGAGCGGGATTTTATTTGTTATATTGGATTTGTGAACAAGGATAATAAAGAAGTAATAATGTCAATTGATATTAAAAATAAAGAAAATAATTCGAAATATTGTTCTCAATGTTTATCAAAAAGTGATATTGAACATGTTTGTTCATCTCAATTATTATCTGATTCTGTTTATACATTATCTGAAATGGCTAATGAACAATTAAATCAATTAGATACATTTTCATTAGCACAAATTCATGTTAAATGTCAACAAGATTTAGAATTATGGCATTCATCAGCAGTTAATCATCTTGGACAAATATTTACTCAACGTTTAGCTGATTTAAATAAAATTTATAATGAAGATCTTCAACCTGATCTGGAAAAATATAAACAAAAAATGATTGAACAACTTAAAAATCGAATTATTCCAAAAATAAATAAAATTATTAATGATCCATCAGATAATAGAAAAAAAGCTGACCAAATTCAGGTTGAACTTTTTTTTACTTTTTATAATACATTTGATAGGATTACTGATTTTTTTAAAATTTAATTCTTATATATTAATTTACAGATTTACATCTAGCATTTTTCGTTTTTATGTTAATTAAACTTTTTTTTAAATTAAGTTTTTATCCAGTTTACATTTTCGAATAGAATATATTCGATGATAAACAAACAAAAATCGATAGTTATTTTTATAATATAAAACAATTAAGAAATAAATTTAAATAATAATTGGGATTTATATATGAATATATTTTAAAATAGATTTGAGTTTTAATCGATTTTAACAAATATTTATATTGGAATAAAGAATAACAATTTAATAAAATATTATTTATTAGAATTGAATATTTAACACTGTTTTTATTCTTAGTATTGGCTTAAATTAATTTATATAAAAATTCTTTTTACGAATAGAAATATATTAAGATATATTCGAAAGTCTCATTCTAATCAATATAATAAGTTAATAATCTAGTTAGTCTAGAAAAACGTCCATTTCAATAAACATCTCAATATTTAGTTAATCGAAATGTAAACTGCGAAATATTTGAAAAAAAAATGTCCATAGAATAGTGTTATTGTTCATTGTTTAAACATGAAGTAGTCATATTATTTTGCTCTGCGAGGATGATAAAAGAATCATCTATATGACTATATTTACTTTGACTTAAGTGAATATTATATTAAAATGATTTTTTAAGTCTATTTCTTTTAAAGAATATTATTATTATTATCTGTCGGAGGTGAACAAACTAGAGAAAAGGTGATGTACACCTCAAATGTGTCAATAATATATAAAGATAAAAGTGTTCGAAGGTATTTAATCGTAGGAATGGTCAATATCGGATAGTTTAAGTTCTATCGAAATCTTATGATTCCATCGTCTGTGATTATTCAAGACACTTTTATATGCAATCATAAATACATTAACTTTCTTGAAAGACGTTATTTATTATAAGGATAATTTAAATAAAACAGTTAGAAAATGTATTATGCTACGAGAAAAAGAGCCAATATAGTATAAAACAGAGGTCCAACCAGGCCACTAGGCCTGCCTGCCTGCCTGTCACAGGCACAGGCTGCGTTTTTTAGGCCTGGCCTATCACCGGCAGGCCAGGCCAGGCAGGCCGCTTAAAAACACCAGGCCGCCTGGCCTGTCTATATTTTTTATAAATATAGTTTTTTTTTCAATATACATTTTTTTTTAAGAAATTGAGGGTAATGCTAGCGATCGGGAGAAGTATAGAATAATGTTCTGCTTTCATGGTGATTGATTGAGGTGATGACTAATGTTCAGCTCAAATCGTAGAGTTCCTCTTCTTTATCTATTCACTCTTCATGTTCTCATTTCTCTATATTTTTTTATTATTGATTGTTGTTAAAATCTTTCTTATCGATTATTGTTGAGATATTTATTATTGGCTGTAAAAGTCTTTATTGTTTTTGTTAAACTTATGTGTTAGCATTTCAATTGTCTTTCTTCATGAAATGGGTGATATTGATCTTTCATCTTCCGTCTCTATTGATGATCCTTCACCTCGTTCAAAAGTAAAACAAACTACATGTTTCTCTTCTATCATCGTGATGGTCAAGGCGTGAGTGTGACACCCGTCCCCACAATATTCGAAAAATTGTCTTGCATTGTATTTCACAAAATGAAACGTATCCTATGTAAAGCACGATTGTATATGTTAACCTCAGTGTTGTCAGATGTCAAACTCGTGAATCCAGAATTTAAATCTCAAAATCATGTAAAACTCAGAAAAATCTCAAAATAATCCTGTAGAAATCTCAAAAAAATCCAGAAAAACCTAGAAGAAATCCCGAAAAAATCTTGATAAATCCCTAAAAAAACCAAAAATTTCGAAAAAATCCCAACAAATCCAGAAAAATACTTGAAAAATCCTGAAAAAGCGCACAATCGTCAAAAAATCCAAAAACTTTAGAAAAAATTCTGAAAATCCAGAAAAATCCCGCAAAAATCTCGAAAAAGCTTTCACATCCGGAAGACCTGGAAACACTAGCTACTCACCCAACATTTTTGGAAATAGGATTTTATAAGTTACTACCCCCGTCCCCAATTTTTGGTTGCTTGCGACACCCCTGGTAATGGTATTGGCATAAAAGAAAAATAGACAGGCCTTTCCAGGCAGACCAGGCAGGCAGGCCAGGCCAAACAAATAAGTTGGCAGGCACAGGCAGGCTTGGAATTCAGAGGCCTGTCATAGGCCGGCCAGGCCTACAAAAACGCGGCCTGGTTGGACCTCTGGGAGGATCTGCAACCATAATAAGAGAATGTACTCCGTTTCAGCTGAAACCAACGCTTGATCTTCTTCCATAGTTTTTATCGAATGAGTATTTGAAAAACTCTTTCATAGAAAATTCATCTGTTTCAATTATAAGTTTACAATGCATAATAAGTTGAAATGATACTAGTATTACATTTGACAAGTATCGAACATTTCTTCTAAATAATCTTGATCCGTTCAAAAGATTCCAATTACTTTCAACAGCTTATCTAGTCTTTGGGATTTAATGACTTTTTCTAAGGTAGTGTGATTTCTACCACGTTTACGTCGAGTATTTTCAAATCACGTGAAAATTTCAGGGTTTGTAAACTTTCGTGAACTATATTAATTCCCAAGACCAATTATTGTTAATTTCATTAATAAACAGGTATATGTCGAGCATGACATTCTCCATGGTAGACCCGAGCTCTCATTTTTTTTTATCTCACAAACTGCGAAATAAAGAAAGATGCAAAATCGCGTTTTTTTAAACATTTCAGAAGAGAATATTTCCATAGGGTGAATCATGTTGTACAAAAATGCTCTCACCAATTTTGACAATAAAACTTATTTTTGTGAGTATGTTGGGAAATTGTTTATGATAATTTTACTCATTAAAACAAGTTCACAATCAAAATCCAATTTCATATTTATATTCCTCATGAGACAATGCATCGGACCATGCCAAACTCAACTGCAGTTTTAACGAAATTCAATTCGAGTCTTAAAGCGAGCGCGAAGTAGTACTATATTATTAAGTGGCCGATGAGCAGTCAGAACACAAACTAAAATCGGTTTCATTCAAATTATCATAAACAATTTCCCAACATTCTTACAAAAATAAGAGTTACTGTCAAAATCGGTGAGAGCATTTTTGTACAACATGGTTCACCCTATGGAAATTCTCTCTTCTGGAATGTTTTTAAAAAAAATGAGAGCTCAGATCTAGTACACGTTATATTGTAATTGATTCTATACATAATTCTCTATATAGCTATGTCCAAGAATGCATACTTTGATATGGACAATATGCCACATACATGAAAGAATAATAAGGTCAAGATATTGACAAAACCAGTATACTTTGTAGTCGAAATCTAGACAAGATCATCGGCAATAAGAACATGTATATATAGTTAGTATTCTATATGTTTAATTCGAAAGATTTTTGTATGAGATCATTTTCGAGAAAATTCTCATATTTATGATTAAATACAAAAACCATAGAAAATGTCTTGCTGGACATATAACTGTTTATTAATGAAATAAAAAAAACTGGTTTTGAGGATTTTGATAGCTCATTATGATCTTCAATAAAAGAAAAACGAAAAAAGTCTTCTTTCATTTTCGATTGAGAATAAATGTAATGGTTATTGACCATATTACTTCACTTGTGTAATCATTCCTCTTATCTGATTATTCGCCAATTTCGATCAAGTTTTCGAATTAATAAAAAGGACTTGAAATTCACTTGAAATTTGTAGTTTTAGTAATAATTATCTGAATACATTCAAAGTTAGTAATTACATTTATTAATTGTTGCTTGTTTTATATTCAATAGATGTAAAGTTTTCTGTTGTAAAATGGACTCTCTGAGGTCCTTCCAAAGACCGTTTTTTTTAGTCGTAATCAAATGTAGAAGCAAAAGTATCTCTCAGTGAAAACAGAAAGAAATGAACATACATGTCTATAACTGAAAGAAGCTACAGGATGGCTTAGTTGATTTGTGTCGGTAGATAACGAAGTGTTATATTGTGCAACATGAATGCTTCTAAACCCATGAAAACACAAAATGATCCTTGTTGAATAAGTAGAATAGGCGGTGTCAGACTGTGCTACATCCACCGGTTTAAAAGTGTGATCACTTGCCAAATGAGTATATAGACAGCTATCATATCTATATTATAATATATATCGACACCACTAACATTACGAGCCAGATATCCAATAGTTAATTATTATTATAATTAGAACTATATATATGCATTTGTTTATTCCACGTTCATAGATTAAGCATCAAATACGTATCAAAATAATAATCAGTGTAACTGTATGAATGTTGATGTAGCTATCTAGAGTCAAAAGAGGTTCGCATACTTCTTTGCCTAAATAGATGCGGTTTAATTGAAGAAGTTTCTCTTTCAAAAAAATAGACTTTGCCTATCAAAGAGAAGACAGCGGAATAACATAAACGAATTACGAAGAAAATCGAAACATATGATTTGAAATATGGAGCCTCTCGATGTCACTTTGTCTATGGTACACAATATAATCCAAATGTGATAACTATACTAAAGCTAATAGCGAACGTTATACGAATATCATTACGAATTGTGACTGCTGTTGATTGAGATGAACTTATTTTGAAGACATGACCGTACATTTATAAGAAGCTATTCACTCTTTCGCAGTATGACAGACTTTTCTTCTTATTAAATGAACATAAATACTGAAGATAAGTATTAATCTATGTATAGTGGTCATCTTAGTCAAGAAAAAGGAAAAAAATAAAACGATGTCTTGGAATCTAAGATCATTGAAATGTTTTTCTATTTGAACTGTTCTCCTTTTTCTTTTATTTGTGATTTTAAGAATCTATTGAGAAGGGTGTGAGCGGACGTAGATATGGCGGGAAAAATTCTGATTTTGTAGTCGTTTTTTTTTAACGATTTTTCGCTTCATTTTTTCGTGAAGCTTACTCAGACTTTTTCGGAAATAAAATCATTTTGAACTAAATAACTTTCTTAAATTGATCATATGAACTGAACTGTATATGCTTGTTGTTTTCCTTAGTAGAAAAGCATATCATAGATTTGTTCACAATAAATAGTTTTCCAATTTTTTTCAGATTTCAAAACACTTAGTCCGACTTTTAACTTTATTTAAGTATAAATAAAAGAAATCCATGCAGAATTGATTTGTTCTAACCCCAACTTGTCAATAAAAGAATGACGAATGTGTTATCGTATTATACAAGTTGACTACTCAAAACCAAATCTCTGATAGAGAATTACAAAGATTATCCAGACTATCGCGTTCTACGACCTATCTTTCTTTTCTTGTTACTATTCTTTAAATTAGATTTTTGATAATGCAATTATAAATAATGCATAAATTGAACCATTTATTAATTACTCTTACGTCATTCTATTTTTTTTGAACACAAAAGCGCATTTAATATACATTGAATAATTCTATACAAATACATTGCTTGTTTTTCTTGTTTTTCCCTTCTTTATCAATGAAACAAATAATACAAAGACGCACATATACGAATAAACACTTTCATCAAACTGATCGAAGCAACAAGAAGAAAAGAAAAGAAATTTCTGTACAAACATATGCGATTTGCTCTCAACAACGAGCATTACAAAACAAACCAATGAATGACTAATGAAACAAGTTAATTATTTGTTATAGTCGTTGTTGACGTAACCATATTATTTCCATTTGATGATGTTGAACCTGTTTCAACTGGTTTTGTTTGATTATAAAAATCAGGTATAAGTTTAAGTCTATTTAATATTTGATCAATTATTGTTGGTGATAATGAGTCATTTGAATACCATATAGAATTTTCTTGAATTTGCTCTGATATTGGACGTAAATAAAAAACATCAGCTGTGCCGCGAATTTGTTCAGGACTAATACAAAATACGTAATAATAAATATTTAAAATGTAAAATTTATCTTACCATTTCGATACATAAAAATCATATTGTTTTATTGGACATCGAACTGGATCATTCATTTGTTCAGTGATTTCATAGAACGTTGGTAAATTTACTAATGATTTCAGATCTTTATAAAAAAAAGATAAAAATCTTATTTTTGTTTTATTTTAAAACAAACTGTTAGAGCAGTTTTCGCGAAGTTAAAATATGAAAAAATTTTAAAATAAGGGATCATCGCATTTTCTATTTTCTTCTCCTAAAAAAATTAAACGTTTAACAAAGTCCGAAACTTATAAAAAAAATCGACTAAACGTTTTCTTTCGATTTTTGTAATAAAAAATACATCGTTGTTAAACTCTTTCTCCACTATCTTACTTCAACATTCCTTTTTGATCGTATTTCATAATAGAACCAATATTATTTTACCTGGATTATGAGCATAAAATCGTAAATAATTCATTTGTTGTCCTTGTGGTGAATTTGTCGATAAACGTACCCATTGAGAATATTTACCAAAATTTGCAAATGATATAGCCATATGTGCTTCAACAGTTTTTAAATTAAAATATTTCGAATTTGTATGAAGTAATGTTGTTAATAATGACCATGATGTTAATGTACCTAATTGATGAACATCATATAATAAATCTTCATCAATTAATGATACTATTGTATTTGCTAAAAGAAATTATTTATTCAATATTTATTTTGAACAATGAGAAGAAAAAAGTAAACAAATTAACTTACAATCGGTCAAAAGACGTGGTGTATAAGTTTGAAGAATTCCATTTAGTGTTGAATTAAATTCTATATAACGAGGATCGAATAGATCGATTTGACGATTGTTTAAATTTAAATAAAATTGAATACCTAAAATTTTTATATAAATGAATGTTTTCTTGAAGATATTTTAGATCACATCGATTTATTTTTATTTTATTTTTTTCTGCTGAAAAGTTTACAAGTTGTTATTCGATTTCTCAAAACCTGGAAATAACCTATCGAATTCTTAATATGTCCATTTTCTAGAGGTCCCAAGTTTTCGGAACACTCATATTTTTATCTGAAACTGCAATGGAAAATATCTCTTTCGGTTGAGTAAGCCGTGAAATGAACAAAATGGTTAGAATTTATTAATCTTCGAGAGTAAAGAATGTAATATCTAGAATTTGTCCATTGAAAGAAACTGACTAGTTGCACTTACCCAAACAAAGATAATAAATACTCTCGGGTAAATATTGTTCTCCTGTTGGACGACGAGCTTCACGAATAAATACATCCATAACCTGTTGTAGTTCATCACCATTTACATATGAAAGTAAATCAGATTTAACAAAATATTGTTTTGCTATTTCTGCTTCTAGAAGAATTTTTAGTTAGAGAAAGAAAAATGTTCAATTGAAGATTACCTTCTGGCGTATCTGTTAAAATAGAACGATTACGTTGTGCACACCATTGTTGAAATGCTTCAACACCATAAGTCCACTTAAGACGATATCCAGCATCAGGTAACATTCGAAGAAGCTAACAAAACAAATGATTTATATGAAGAAGTTTTTCATACACATTCCTATCTACTGTGCATAATCGAACGTCGAAAAAATCAATATATGATTGCATCAGTAGTAAACTATGCATATTTCTTACAATTGGATGAAAAGAGAAGTCAAAGATAGCTAAAAGTATGATTGAGACCTTTTAAACAAATCCATTTTTCAGAAAAGACATAGTTAGGTCAGTTATTCCTATAAAAGTTGTTCAATGAGGCGTCTACAGTGGTATTCTATCCAAGAAAGAAATAAACTCAAATGCTGTTTTTGGCTTAAAAGCTCATTTTTTCATGAGAACTTTTTGACTTAGTTTTTGTCTCAAGGCCAGCAAAAGAAGAAAATAGAAAAAAATTGTGAGAATTACTAGACTGTAATGTCTTCTATTAACAAAAAGAAAAAAGTTTTCCCAGTCAAATTGGCTGAATGCCATTTGAAATGCGATCGACACCAACAATGAGTATTACACACATACTAAAATTGTCATAGCTCTGTTGCCAGAGTCAGAACACATTAGTGGCAGGTGGCAGTTTCACTATGTACGTCATGTTAACAAGATATCAACAGAGAGTAACAACACTCTCCACTATCCTTCCAAGAACAAAAGAGTAGCTAGTGTTCTAGCTCGATCCCTATTTAGTTTTCATTAAGAACGAGATATAACGCTGACATTTCTTTTTGTGCGATGACAAATCCAAGATATTCTTCGAGAATGATGGACATTAATAATTTCGAAAATAAAAACCGACCTCTAATATCATGCTTGTTATGTCTGTAGGAGAGAAGCGTCCCAATTACTACCCTCAGACTTTAACATTCCTTATAGATCGTGTTTCAAGAAAAAAAGAAGAAATTGCTTATTGAATGATACCTTTTGAACTTCAGGATCATTGGATGTAATGGAATCAATGTAATGAGCTTCAAGATCGAGTTCAGGTAAATTTTCAATTGTTTGTGATGTTGTTATATATGAATCTAATAAAGCAGAATTAGACAAAAAAGAAAAGAACAATAAAGATTTAAAATAAACAAACCATCACGTGTTAAATCCATCATCATGACTGATTCATGTCCATTTGTTATTGTTTGTTGTGGTTGATTTTCTGCACGTGCAAGACTTTCCGCATGCATAACAAGTGCTGCTTCAAATGGATCATCAGGTAACAAATCACGTTGCGTCTAGATATCGAATATTTATCTTTTATAAGAAAATATATTCTTAAAAAGTATCTTACTTGAAGATAATCACGTATATTTTTATAAGTACTTCGTTGGACAGGTATCATAATTGGTACAAAGAAAGGTACTGGTATTGGTACAGCTTTTGGTTTAAATAATCGATAGCTCGGTGTTGGTGATGGAAGATAAATTGGTACAGGTAAACTAACTAAAGGTACATCAGGAATCATATGTTCCATTTCTAAAATAAAAAATTATTATTATTGGAATAAACTTACAAAAAAATTAATAAAACCTGTTTGTGTAGCTATAGTAAATCTAGTTGGCTTAGCTTCAACTTCACGTTCAGATACTAATGGTTTACATAATGTCATTTTATTTTTCATTGTTGATGGATTAATTATTTGTTGTGGCATAATTAATGGTACAAAAGATTTAACATGATATAATTCATCGTCAGGCCAACGTGCTTGTTTTTTATTTATATTTGTTGTACTACGAATTTCAGCTGTTGTACGTGGTTTACGTCCTGGTCCACTTGATGATAATTGAGATTGTTGATTTTGTTGTTGTTGTGGTCGTGGATAATCCATTAAACGATATGGTATATCATCTTCATCATCTTCAGCTTTATTTAATGGCATTGATGATGGTGTTGGTGGTATTGGATTTCCATTTTCATCTCGATCTAATAAAGGAAATGTAACAAAATCTGCATCTTGTTTTGGCTTTGGTACACGTGTTGAACGACGTGTTGGTCCCAAACTATCATTACTACTCATTGGTGGAGATGAATCACGATCTGAATCATCATCATCATCTGATGAATGACGTCGAGGACGGTTTCTATCGAACAAAATAAAAAGTGAAATTTTTTAAGTTTGTTATTTTTTTGAATATTTACTGAAACCAAGATATTGGTCGTCGTTGTTGGGATGAAATTGTATGTTGTTGGTGTTGGTGTTGTTGCTGTTGTGGTTGTTGTTTATTTCCAGACATTAATCCAGTACGATTATGATATTGTCCTTGTCCAATAGTTGTTGGTCGTCCAAAAAACATTCTTTCATCATTAGTTATTTGTTGTTGAATTGGTTTACGAATAGTTGCATTATTATGTGATGTTATTGTTGATTTAACAGCTGTATTACCTGTACGTGCTGTTGTACCCATTACTTTTTGTTCAATATTCATTGGTACAATATCAACAGGTGGTTGTTGAATAAGTGTTGTTAATTCTTGAAGAAGAGTTTCAGCTGATGTTTGAGTTGGTGTTGCTGTTGTTGTTGGTAGCTCTACCGGTGCAGCAACAGTTAATAATTCTATTGTTTGACCTATACCAGGTAAAACTGAAAAGGGAAGAAATGGCGCGCATTTAAATGATTAAACAATAACATTTTTTTTCGTCTTACATGCTTTTCCTGTTTTATTTAATTCTTCAAGAAAGGCATTCATTTCTACTTCACTCATTGAACTAAGTACAGCTTGTAGTGTAGCATCATCAACAACATTTATTTGTTGCTGTTGTTGTTGTGATTCTCTCGTTGTTGGAAGAACATTTTGTTCTAAATAATTCATAAATTTAATTAAATAACAATGGAAAAAATAGGTTTTTAGTATAACCCTTTAGGATTAAAATATAAAATACTATGTCGCTGATCACTGAAAGATTGCTTTATTCTATCTATTTAGAGATGTATATCTTCACCCATCCTTTTTACTTAGTCCTCCAGAAATGCAGTAAGGAAGTAGCTCAGTATTCGAATAAGACGTTATTGATATAGTCTCCGATTGTATACCAACATCTGCACGGTCTATGATAGAAACGCTGTTAACGCGTTTGTGAAGGAGAGGATGATGGATCAAACTTTTCATCCCTATACTTCAATAGTTCTTTTAGATGGTATCTCCGAAAATGTTCTTTTTGTTTGCATTTACCTTCGTGATTTGTTGAGGCAGTTTCTGTGACTTGATTGTTCATATCTACAATAGATAAATATATGTATAAAAAATAGAGCAAAAAAAATACAAATTATTTTATTAATAATAAAAAAAAAACGGTTCATTCTAATTGTCAGTTTAATTAATAAAATGAAACACGTAAAATAGTCCTTCTAGTTCGTCGTTCATATTCAGTGACTATTGTATCAATTGTATTATTCATTTTACTGTTTGTCATAATTCACAAAACATAAATACATCAAATGCTGTATTTTCTGGAATATTAATAATTTCATTGGTATGTTTATCACGATTTTCTAAATGTAAATTGAATTCAAAACGTTCAGGCTGTTGAGTGATGAACCAGGTATTTTGATTAGTTGATCAGAATCAAATGATGTAACAAGTAAATCACGTTTAGCCATAAAATGATGTGCTTCCCTACTTCGATTGTAATTTGATGAACAAACAAACAATAAATCCAAGGGCCACTCTTCAAATCTAAACAAAGCAAGGTTATAAGTTCCCAGAAAAATAAATAATTAAAAAAACTAAAATATTCATTCTTTTTTCGTCAACTGCAATTATACCGTAAGTCATATGACCACTAGCATTGTCTGTTTTGTTTATGATTTTGTATTTCTATTTTGATCTAAATCAATCTTTTCTTTTTCATGAACAACAATTCAATGTGCGATAACTGATTTTAGTTCAGCTCACTTCATAATAGAATCTTTACAATACATTTCAATCGTTCAAAATTGATACCACTACAGTTTTGTATCGGTCAAATAATTTGACTAGTTACGTGCTCAGAGGAGAGGAAAGTTGATCTTTCTCTGAAAGAGTGTACGGATTCAAGACTATCTGTCCTTTGCAGTTGTCCAATTAGAAGTTAACGTTAAATTTTCATTAGAAAAGACTGTTTTCTGTTTGTTGGAGGCGTCATGAAAATCTGATTAAATTAATTCAATCATAATGTAACGGATGATTCAGAATAATTGTCGTCTTCACAGTTTTGATAATATCTTCTCCAATTTTCAACAAAAAAAATCATGAAAGATCACGTTGCAAACCCTGCAAGGAATATTACGAAACAGTAAAGTGATGCTTTTTCAAGTGTTTTCTTTCGTTTTTTCTCTTTCTCAAGCAACAAGTGTGTTTAATATCAATACAGTGGCCAATTAGACGCTCTTTGAAAAGTCATCACTATCGTGTCTCAAAATCTTTTCCAGGATGACCTTCTATAGTAAAGTCTCTCATGAGATTTGGCAAAAAATTACACGACAATGTTTTTGGAAAACCGTTCAAGTTTCAGCATTGAAAACGCGAAAAGATATTATCGAAATTTCAACAAGAATCTGAAATTTTAACGATTTATTTACCTTCTAATGCACATCCAGGAGTGTTATTTGGTCATAAGTTTATCCGTGACTTAGATCACAAAGTACCACAATAACTTGCATATATGATGAATATAAAAAGAAAACATTTTCAAGTGAAATTATTGATTATATGTAGCAAACGTACTAGGTTACATCTCGACTTAGAACACAATTCGAAAATAATGATATATAATTCAATTCGATTAAAAAAAACAACAGAATTGCTCAAAAGGATGAGAATTTCCTTTTTTTTAAAATATACTCCTCTTGGATTTCGAACAGGATACGTGATCAATTTCTAATAAAAATTCAGAAGTCTTCTAATTGCTAAGTAATAGAAATGAATGACATCTCAACATTATTTAGTTAGTGTGTCAGCAACTTGTTAATATTCTGTAAAAATGATGCCTTACTCATGAAAACTATTCTTTCATAACATCAAAATTCTCTTACCGAAACGATTTTTGACACAACAACAGTTTCAATAGACACTCCATCAGACATAAAATATCTATGATCTGCTATTCATATTTATTTGGTGAATTTGACATTTTCAATCTAATTGGATATTACAGATTGATTGAATTCCCATTCGGCTACATTCTAATCAATGTCATTAACGATACACATTTATTGTGATGTAAAAAAACAAACGTTCCATATTCAATTGATAAAAAAAAGACGCATTGCTTTGTCCAGTTGAAAACCAATTCGATTGGTTAATAAGAATAGAACCAATAAAAATAGCTTTTCTTTATTATAGATGTCGCTCTATGGAAGAAAAAATAGACTTGTTAGTTCTAAAAAACAATCAAATTATTTTCTTAAACATTATGAAGGTTAAGATAAGTTAGATAAAGAGAAACACGCTATATATTATAGTCTATGTAAATCCTAGGTCGTTTTGAACCAATCAGGTCGTATTCCATATTTAACTCTTTTCTTTCTAATGTTTAATGACAATGTCAAAATATGTGCATAATGTGGTGTGCATAATCAAGTTAAAAAAAGATCGTATTGAAGAAGCAATCAAGTTCTTGAATTAGAAAGAAAACTTAATAGAAAACTACTGTCAATTTCTTCTAAACCTTAAGAATAAGAAAATAAAAAGCTTTCATACTAAAATCGATTGATCTCTTATTTTTCACAATATTAAAATAATACTTTTTTCAAAATGTTATAAAATATTCATTTAATTTGCATGTGAACAGAATTCAAATTTCACTATAAACAGGGATTAAATTCTACTCTAATTAACCTACATAGTAATGTTTTTGCTTGTTCAATTAGCATCTCAGTTGAATTCCACGTCTACCTGTGAAACATTTTCCAGCTACAAATTTTACACCTATTACATTTTCATTCAAAGAGTTTTGTTCATTTCCTATGAGACTCAAAGTTTTAATATAAATGATATTAATAAAAACAAAAAGAAACTTTGGGTCAATGGTCAATTTTTATTTCGTATAGTGATTGAAAGAGCAACTATTAGCAAAGTACTATGTCTATTATTTATTTTAAGACTTTCTCAGACGTGAAATCATCATGGTCAGAGCATCAAAATATCAATATACAATCATTAACAAAATTAAAAACCAGACGCAATCAAGATTGATATTTTGGAATTAGGATCGGTTAGCATTGTTAAAATTATATTGAAATGAAAATCTTTCACGTCAAAGCCAACAGCAACTATAAAATAGGATACATCAATTATTGAAGTGAATGTTTCTTTTGGTAAAAAAATCGATGAGTTTCCTTTTTGTTTTCTGAAACATTCTAAAATTGGTTTTCAGCTAAGAAACTATCACTTAGTTAGAAGGCAAAAAGGATATTATTTTCTACGAATTCTTTTCAATTTCAAGGTTTTACTAGTTGAAATTAGAATCGGATAGGAATCAAGTTTAGCGTTATTAGAATTGTGTTAGAAATGAATATATCAATTGTCAGAAGATAACAACCCCCCCGCCCTTGCTGGAAATGCACGAGTCGCCAAATATTTTTGATCAGATATTTCTTTTCGTTTTCGTGTTCGTTAAACTTATATCATTTCTTTCTTGACGATGTGGGTATAAGCATGATCAAAAAGAAGACCAATACTCTCAATGACACATTCATACCCGCCCAGTTGTTGAATCATAGTTGATTTAGTTGAAGTTGAAAGGACTTTTTCTGCTGCAAGTTTAGTTGTTACTACATGTGATTCCTTTCTTTGTTCTATTACTATGAGCTTCACTTTTATCTGTGATATTTACCTAAGATTTTCTTCAACAAATACTAGATTGTTTTCTGAATATTCCTCTTTCTATTTGTTTATTTTTCTATGTATTAGTACTTTTCAATCCATATTAAATGCAAAGTCATAGATAAAAGGGTACTTCTCTGTATAGTGAACACGTTTAAATATTTCGAATGTTCACACTACAGGATTTTTACTGGTGTCATCGTGTGAGCCAATTTGATTCAATTGACTTGTTGGACATTCTATGCAGATTAATACTTAATTATATTATATTATCATGATATTGGATTGAAAAAGTGTACAGACAGAGCAGGTCTGCGAAACGTCAATCCGATTACGCCTCTGATAACCATCTTTTTACTTTTCTCGCCTCGTTTAACTTTATTTTTCCACTTATTTTCTTTGTCTCTCGTTAATATAACTCAGATGAAGCACTAGGTAAGGAAGCAAGCTAATTTTGACATTTCATGAAGTTTTGAAAAGAGGGAGCATGATTTTAAGTGTCTATCACATCTTATTGCGTAGGAGATGATGGGTTGAGTAACTGTTTCAACGATTATTCCACAAAATCACGATTTGACACATTAGAATGAGTGTGAAAACGGAAAAGTAGTGATGATCACTTTTTTATGCCGTTTATCACGGTTTTTCGACAGAATATCGGATTGTGACCGTATGAACGGTATTTTCATCATTTCAAAACTACCCGAGTGTACTATCTTGAAGGTGTAGGATATTAATCTTCTTCTTGATTCATTTCATATAAACGGCTAGCCATTTTTATTGTGAATTTCAAGAGTGAGCAAGAACCATAGATGATGAAAAGCAGGAGCGAAGAAATACGGTTTGTCTATTGTTATAAGGAACTCATGTCTTTTTCAAAGTTCAAGAGACACATTTGAAAGTACTGTATGCAGTACGTCACTTTTCCAGATGCCTACAATTTTATTGCCGTCTTTGTCCATGTAAGTACCATTGCCGTCCTTCATGTCAGACCACCATTGACCCTCGGTATATACAACCATCGGTTTCAGTTTGAATACCCAAACCGGATCGAAGATCATTTTTCCATTTGCCACGATACATCTGGCCATCTGGATAGAATTGAACGCCATCGCCATGCTGCCTGTTGTTGAACCATGCTCCTAGAATAACAACAGCATATAAAAACAACAAAAAACATAGTGTTTTCTTCTTAATAGAAATGTCGTTGTGATCAACTCGTTTTTCTATGCAAAATTTATCTGTATAGCGTTGCCCATTCGGCCATTGCATCACACCCAAGCCTGATCGTATATTATCTTCCCATTGACCTTTGCAGCGATGTCCGTCACTCCATATTAGTTCACCCATGCCTGTTCTTGAATTATCCTTCCAATGTCCATCATAGATCATTCCTAATTGAGCCCAGAC